GACACCTAATTCTAATTGTAATTGCCTAATGGGTTGCCTATTTGGTGTAAAAGACTATAGAAACTATGATAGATACAATTTAGGTAAAAAAGGACACATAATTCTAATAGAAGACAAAAGTTATCAATAAAATAGAAAGTCAAACTGTTTTGTAGAAAGAAGGCTGAAATATTTATATTTCAAGAAACTCTCTAAATTCTAATCTAGGTAAAAAAGGACACATAATTATAATTGTAATTGCCTAATGGGTTGCCTATTTGGTGTAAAAGACTATAGAAACTAGGATAGATACAATTTAGTTAAGTAGGAACTAGAAGACTGGTTAAGTAGGATCTATCGAACTAGAAGACTAATTGGTTCGGTTCGGTTCGGTTCGGGTCGGTTTATGAATTTGCCCAACCCGAAACCGACCGGTGCTGATGAAAACCCGGCCAACTCGGGTTGGGTCGGTCCGGGTTGGTTGGTTTGGTCGGGTTGGGCCTTCTTATGAACAACCCTACCTTGCGTATCTATCTTATGCTACCGATCTGGAATTTTGTGTCTAGGACCCACTTGATATGACACAATCATGTATGTGATGTAGGTGTATTTGTAAGGGTCACAACAAATCCGATTTGCATCCTTAGCATTGCTCAAGTCTCAATTACTTGTTTGGGCATCAAAACCTACTAAACAGTGGAGGCAAATTATGCAGGCATTCTGATTCATGCATATTTATAGTTTTGAATTTGATTGGATTAATATTTTCTAATTGTATTTTTCCTAACTGAATATATAGGAAGAAATTACCAAGAAAGCGACGATTGGAACAAGAAAGTAAGAAATCCTATATGGTAGAACGGAGAGAGATGGCAAAGAAGGAAAGATTGAAGAAAGAAAGGAAGAAACAAAATAATACAGGAAAGAATTATTCCATTGCAAATCTTCCTGAAGAAACCATTGCAGAGGTTCTTGTTAGAGTTTCACCATACTCTCTTGACAATGCCAGGCTTGTTTGCAAGGCATGGTCTAAGATAATTCTTTATAAGTTCCACTTGTTTAAGCCAAGCTTCATTATCCAAGAAAAGAACCCTGAATGCAAAGATGGATGTGATACCCGATTTGTAATGATTGAAGGAGGGAAGATTAGAGACACTGGGTTAGATTTCCCTTGCAATGGACGAATTATGGCTAGCTGTAATGGTTTGTTATTGATTGAAAGTTGCTGCAAATTGCAAGTACCTGTATGTGACTAACCCAATTACCAAACAATGTGTAATACTTCCTCCATGTGTACCATACATTGTGAGGGAACTAACTATGGTGGTTCTATGTATGGGCTAACATTTGTGCCTTCTCCCAAGGAATTCAAGGTTGTGCATGTTGTTCTATTCAGGAAAAACCGCCTTGCAACTGTTGAATGTGAAATATTTGTCTTGGGGAGTAATACATGGAGGGAGATTGCAGATGAAATAAATTTTCGCAATGAGAATGTATTTTGGGCCAATATATTCCCTGTTTCTGTGAATGGAGTTTTGCATTGCAAGGGTATCTCATACATAGGTGAAAAATACTGTTACATATTGTCCTTAATGCTGCTGATGAGAAGTTCCGACTGACGCAAATCCCAAATTACTACAACGCACAGGGTCATGGCTTTATAGAGGTTGGTGGCTATTTAGCTCATCTGACTCCTACAGCTCCTACCCAGATGGATCTATGGTTTTTGAAGGATTTTAAGTATGGAAATTGGATCAAGAAACTTAGTATTGCCTCAGAACATGTAAGAAATGCGATTCAGAATGGAACCATATTCCATGTTGTACCCTTCTGTATCTTGGATAATGGGAAAGTAATAATGCTCAGGGTTGGTTCAGAGAAAGGTTACATGTTATATGCTTATGATACTGAGTCCGAACAAACAAGATTGGTGGAAACAGGAATCCATTCAATAAATAATTGCCTGCCTCTTCCTCACATCAATACCCTTGTCACTTTGGTAAATATCTTGTTTTATATCAGCTTTTTTGAAGATAATTTCATATGATTCCAGAGATTGCTTCAAATTACACAATTATAGTTTATAGTTTTTTTTTTTCATTGATGGTAGGTATCATCTCACAGCGGAAGGTGGACTTCTATCTGGATCGTTGATCATCCATAGAAGGATTAAAAATAGAAATAGGGGTTTTGATCACTTTATAATCTAATAACAAATAACAATTTTTATTTTATTTTTTCTAGTTATCCTTATGTACGAGATAGCTTAGGACATGTTTGGGAGTGCTTTTAAACCCACTTAGGAATGTCCTTTTATAGATACCTTAGGACATGTTTGGGAGTGCTTATTTGGGCCATTAAGCATTTATTGGTATTTGGGAAATAAACCCGAAATAAGTGCTTATTTTAGAAATAAGGATTTATTTTTTAAGCCCAAATTTCTAGATTTTTTTTAAGTGCTTATACAATAAGCACTTATTCAACTTTTTTTCTTACAAAATTATCCTAGTTGAATTTTAGAATACCACTTATAAAATTATCCCTATTTGAATTTTAAAAACTACTTTTATGAAAGCACTTTTACAAAAGTATTTTTATGAAAGCACTTTTAAGAAAGTACTTTTTATGAAAGTATTTTCACAAAGGCACTTCTATAAAAGTACTTTTACAAAAGCACTTTTATGAAAGTACTTTTATGAAAACATTTTTATAAAAGTACTTTTACGAAAGCATTTTTATGTAAGTACTTTTACAAAAGTAATTTTATGAAAGCACTTTATAAAAGTTTTCTAAAGTGCTTTTATAAAAGTACTTTTGTAAAAATGATTTCATAAAAGTGCTTTCTTAAAAATGCTTTTGTAAAAGTATTTTCATAAAAATACTTTTATAAAAGTGCTTTTGTAAAAATGCTTTCATAAAAGTGCTTTCAAAGGGTATATTTTGAAAATTTGAAAGAAAATTAAGGACAAAATAGTCACAAATGCTTATTAGAGAAAATGACTACCAAATGCCCAATATAAAATAAAATGAGTGCTTATTTAAAAATAAGCACTTGAAAAAGTTGGGTGCCAAATGTAAATAAGTGATTATTTGAATAAACACTTGTTTTTAAGCACTTTGTTTTTATCTTAAGCACTCCCAAACATGGCCTTGATGACACAAGATGTTTTACCAACTATATTTACGTTAGTTAAGTTTAGCAGAAGAGAGATTAAGTCTATGTTGGGCATTGATGCTGCAGTTGCAGCACCATTTTCTCTGCTGATGTGTTGTTGGAAGGCATTGTTTTGGTACCTTTATTTTTGTTTGGAATTGTTGCTGCCAGGTAGGATGTTTCTTGGAGCAACAACTTTTTTTGTTTGGTACCAATGCTCCAGGAAATGTTTTCAGCACTGGTACCCATTATCCAGTGCCACATCATTGCCCTGTTGGTAGCAATCAGCTACAGCTACAGGAAACGCCCAATTTGGCATTGCTCCAAGCCATGGCTTCCCGATTTCTGAGGCATGGCTTGGAGCACTATTTTTTATAGAAAAACGGTTTTAAACAAATGCCCATTTCCTGGAGCACCGTTTTTTCCAATGTGGCGCTCATGTGGTGCTGTTGCTCCAGGAAACGACAACAATGCCAAACAGGCGCTAAGGTGCTTGGTGGAGAAGACCAAAGTTATGATAGCTGATGGCTGTGGTTACTTAAGCTGATTGGGCCTCCTAATCCAATGACATTTAATCACACATTAAGGTTGAGTTTGAAAAGATTACAAATGTAAATATGTACTGTGCAAATACATACAAAATAATGTAAAATATAAGGTTTTGCACTCTACATATTTGCATTTGTATTCCTTCCAAATTGAGCCTAAAAGTGTTTCAGTGATCACCATCTTTGTCATATAAGTTAAATTGAATCTTGAATCAGGTTCCGGAATTTTAGACTCCTTTGACATCCCTAATAGAAACTTCTTAGTATCCACTGGAAATGATGCGTGGAACTAAACCATAAAGGTTAAAGAAATCAAATTCATAAAATAAAAGGTTAAAGAAATGAAGAGACAAAATTAAACCATGAGAAATGGGGTTTATGGACGTTTTTTTATGGCTAGATAAATATAACCTTTGTAAAATCATAATCACAGAACAGATGCAATAAGGATTGATTATAACTCCCAGACAACACACAAACAACTTTCACATTTATATCCTTGCTGCGTTTAAAATGTTTTTTTTTTTTCACAGACCATTGCTTAAAATGATTTATTTTTTCACAGAAAAGCACAACCAGATACGTCCTCCAATCAAATAAAATAATCTTTTAATCTGGATGATGCTGGAAAGACATGATATCAGAAAAACTAACCAATCAATAAGCATCATAAAAGCAGTAACCAATCAGGTGGGTTTTAATCAAAATTCACAAGGGGTTTTGATCATGGATCATGGATCAAATACTAAATTGTGAGATTAACATGATACCATAGAAGTGAAATGATTGGTTTTTGAATGATTAACGGCTATGGCTAGTGCGTAGTTTTACCGGTTCAACCATTCGATTATATTTGGTTTTTGAATGATTGGGTTTGCTGCTCCAAATTAACCTCCAACCAGTAATGAAACCTAAAAAAGAAAGAGATTTCACTTTAATAAGGTTTTACATGTGGTTATAGCAAACGAGTTCTTTGTTTTATTCAATAGAAATTTATAAATAGGTAAATACATAATACCAGTTTTTCTTTCAAGAGTTAGAAATGTGGCACGTGCACGATTGGAATAATACTCAAGTATCTACGCTGGTATAAATAGAGTGCAAAACCTTGTATTTTGGAAGGAGTATAAATATAAAAATATAGAGTGCAAAACCTTGTATTTTGTATTGTTTTGTTTGTATTTGTATTGTATATATTTGCATTTGTACTTCTTACGAACTAAGCCTTAGTCTCAATTTGAAAGGAGTACAAATATAAATATATAGAATATAAAACCTTGTATTTTGTATGTATTTATATTGTATATATTTGTATTTGTGATCTTTTCAAATTCAGCCTTAAGAAAGAAATATTAATTATTACAATTAATATTTTTAGTTACTATAGTGTTGGAAGACCATGATACCCGCAAAATCATATAACCGATCAACAGGGGTCATCATAAAACTGGTAATAACCAATCAGTTGGATTTTCATCAAAATTTACAAAGTTTTGATTGCTCGAAGCCTTTTTATGGTATTATGTCTTTTCGGCATTATAGATTTTTAATTTTTATGAATAACATTTTCAAGTATTAATTAATAACTTTTGCATCCGTTGTGTAAAAAACACTCAGAACTTTGTACATACCCACCTGGACATCAATTTATATTTGGTGCTTATTTTCATAAATTTTGTTTGTGAACCGTATCATTACTATCTTGTTACATCACATATATTAGATAACATCGATCAAAGCATTTTCAATAGGTTCAATATATATTCTAGTGAATCCCATGCTAGAAGGGAACACAGAGAAAATTAATATATATACGCACACGGGACTTGTTCACAAGAGATGAACACTACTTACAATCCTGAAACCTAAGTATTTAGTATTTTATTATTAATCATGCATTAATTATTTAAAATCTATAATTAGTTAAATAATTATTTTAATTAATTAATGTTTTGCATTTTATTAGTTTATAAGTTATTATTAATATTATATTTTATTAGTACCCATGACTTAATTAATAATTTTACTGTTTTACTATTAATTATTCAGAAATTACTAAAATTATTTTCATTGATAAATTATTGTTTTAAATTTATTTTAATTAAGTTATTAATTATAAAATAATTATTTAATTAGTATATTAATTAATTATTAAATATATATATTTTTTAATTCTTAACCAATTAATAATATTTTTATGACTTAGTATTTTATTCTTAATTATTAATTTGATATTAATTAGTTAATTAAATAATAATAATTATAATTAATATTTTTAAGTTTTATTAGTTTCTATTTTATTTTATTAATACTTATGACTTAATTAATAATTTGAATATTTTATTCCGAAAATAATTAATTATTAAATTATTTATTGTTTTAATTAAATTATTTTATTAATATGTTATGAAATAATTAATGATTTATTTATTGATCATGGATCTAGTATTAACTCTTAGAAATACTATAAGGAATGTGTTTTTCTGTTAAATAAAGCCCTATTTGGCATCAATTGTTTAATTGTTTTAATATGTCCATCTCATGACATCCTACAAACTAAATATGGGAAGGAAAGAATATTTTAAAATATTCCATAATTTCCTATCGCATCCCACAAACCAAACAGAGCCTAAAAAAAGTATATATTCTGAGTCAATATACCGATGATATTCATTCATCAATAACTGGACCCCACCTGTTCAAACCTGCCGTCGTCCCCTTTGGTCCTACGCATATCCTAATCTTTCCACCATTCCCCAATATTTGCATAACTTATACCTCATGGTCGTTTAAACCTCTGCAGGCTGTGTTCCTTCGTATACTCATGTTTATCATAATCAATTATATTGTTTCCAAACACCTTCCTAGAGGGTCTGTAGCTCCCAATCACATTTTCTCTTCTTGAGTTTAGGAACACTGTTTATGGGTTAATAGCCACTTTGATTTACTTTGAGGGGGTGTTCTTTTTTCAAATTTTGAGAGGCGGAAAGTTGGTCAATGAGATTTTGGTTCCTATTAACCAAGAATCCCATATTCTTTTTTCAGATTTATGTGTGAACATGGAAAATTTATTTTCCTAGGCATCACTTACCTGGTTAAGTGATACTCATCTCCTAGGTGAGTAAATAACTTTCCCACATAGGGGGAAAGTTGCCAACACTTGAATGGGACAAAAATGCCCATTTTAATCATGGATTAAATGGTCATTGCCTTATTTACATGAGAAATAAAAGAACATGGGTAAATGCACTTACTCGGGTAAGTGTTTCCCAGGAAAAACTTACCCTGGTAACTGCATTTACCTAGGTAAGCATCTTACCGAAAAGCGAGCGGGGCCTGAGGGGAAACTAATTTAGGGTCCGTTTGGTTTGCAGATGAAATTAGAACTATAATTGTAATCAAAATCATCCAGAATCAGAATCAGAATGGTCCATTCTCATGGTCTGTTTGGTTCAGACAGGAATGAGAATGAGAATTAGAATCAGCAGGAATGAAATTTCATTTCCAATAAAAGGGCAGGGGGGAATGCCATTCCAGAAGGAATGGGAATCCCATTTCCATTCTGCCCAACCAAACAGTTGGAATGGAATAGCCCATTTCTAGACCCCATTCCCGAAAACCAAACGGGGCCTTATTTGGATCAAGGAATTAACGTGGCAAATGTAAGGGACTTAAATAAGGAACTGATCCCAACC